CCTTGCTGGCTGCGGTCTGGCATTGGCAGCTCATGTTCATCTTGGAGTCAATAATGACTCCAAGATCCCTTTCTGCCTCTGTGCTTTCAAGAAGGGACCTCCCCAGCCCGTATGTGTGCTGTGGATTCCTTCTCCCAAGGTGCAGCACCCTGCGTTTGTCTATGTTGAACCCCATCCTATTCTCATCTGCCCACTTTTGTAGTCTGTCTAAATCTAGTTTCAGCCTCTCCCTTCAAGTGTGTCTACCTCGCCCCACATCTTAGTGTCATCAGCAAACTTGGACAGCGTGCTTTCCACCCCCTCGTCCAAGTCGCTGATGAAGATGTTAAACAGTGCGGGCCCGAGGACTGAGCCCTGGGGTACCCCACTGCTCACATCTCGCCAGGTTGAGTACAACCCATCCACTACTACTCTCTGGGTGTGCCCCATCAGCCAATTTTTTACCCATCCAACTGTGCAGGCATCAATGCCACAGTCACTTAATTTGTTGATGAGGATGGGGTGAGAGACAGTGTCAAAGGCCTTCTTAAAGTCTAGAAAGACTATGTCCACGGCGACACCAGCATCCAAGGATTTAGTTACTTAGTCGTAAAAGGCAGATATGCTCCTTGATGATTCTCTCCAAGAGCTTCCCGAGCACCGAGGTGAGGCTTACAGGCCTATAATTACTTGGGTCCTCCTTCCTCCCCTTCTTAAAAATAGGGACCACATTAGCCAGTTTCCAATCCCCCGGCACCTGGCCAGATGACCACAAATGCTCATACAGCCGGGCCAAAGGCTCCGCCTACAAGCTCATCAAGTGGATCACAAGAACACTTCTGCAGGGCAGGTATCATTTTATAGATCTATAATCTTTAGCAGTATGGAAATTAGTCTAGAATGTCTCCCCTGGAGAATGTGTTGTTGAAAAACAAACCCATCACCATGATTGGGCTTCCCATCATCTTCCCCTTTCACCCCTCTGTCAATTTTTTTTTAAAACCAGGTATTCAGAAACGGATTTTTAAGAGTTGAAAATTTCCATTGCCAGTTTTTAATGTTATGCCATTAATGCAGCAGCTGCTGTGTTTCTTGGCATTGTATGTATTTTACAAGTCACTATCAGCCTCCCTTCCCTTTCTTCCGAGTCCTTACTCATAACTGGTTGTTTTTACTACAGTTAGTCCCAAGTCAAATGGTGAAAAAATATACATTCAGAAATGAACCAGCCCATTTCTACAGCTGAATGGAGGTATAGTGGGGAAGAAGAAACTCCAGACCTTTTCGTTCCATTGTAACCATACTGTTACGAGCTTGTTCCTTCTGTGCAGGGTGAATGCCATTATAGGGTATTGTGTTCCTCCCCCCACCCCCAAAGAAAAGCCCAACCTGTTGTTGTGGCAGGACATGTACATATTTAAAGGATCAGGTCCGTATTATTTGTTGTGTACCAACAAGCCTATTCATTATAGTTCAGGACCATAAAGGCATGATCTATGTCCAAACAAACTTACCATTATACCATATGATCCTGTTGAATGTGGCAAAAGAGGACCTTTCATGGGTAAGCAGAAACTGGATGTGATTTTTCCCTCTGAAGACTTGGGCACCACTGAAAGTGAAAAACTAACCAGAGAGAGAACATAGGACTTGCAAGATGCACCTGTTGCACAGGTTACACATGATGGCTAAAGAGATTCAGTGAAACAGAAAAGGGAGCATTGCAGTTCTGTAATGACAGTGATTACTCTGGTTTCTCCACAGAGAGGACTTCACCCAGGGAACGAGAAAAGAGACCAAAAAAATATTAGGGCAGGAGGGGGAAATACTTAGCTTTGATCAAAACTTCATCCATCCAAAACCTCAGCTACTGCCATTAAAGGTCCATGGATTAAATTGACTTCAGTATTCCCACTGTGGCTAGACCTTAGGTTTCTCAGCCAGCTCACCAAACACTTTCTCACCTCTGCTTTA